AAACAACAACAGCAACGAACAACAACAACAAACAACACCATTAACAGCAAACAACAACAGCAAACAATAACAGCGAATAACAACAACAATATACAACAACAACAACAGCAAACAATAACAACAACAGCAAACAACAACAACAGCAAACAATTACAGAAAACAACAACAACAGCAAACAACTACATCAACAGCAAACAACAACACCAGCAAACAACAATAGCAACAACAACAAAAACAACAACAACAACATCAGCAAACGACAACAGTAAACAACAGCAACAACAACAGCAACAACAACAACAACAACAAACAACAGCGAACAACAACAGCAAACAACAACAACAAACAACACCAACAACAGCGAACAACAACAGCAAACAACAACAACAGCAAACAACACCATTAACAACAAACAACAACAGCAACGAACAACAACAACAACAACAACAACAAACAACACCATTAACAGCAAACAACAACAGCAAACAATAACAGCGAATAACAACAACAATATACAACAACAACAACAGCAAACAATAACAACAACAGCAAACAACAACAACAGCAAACAACTACAGAAAACAACAACAACAGCAAACAACTACATCAACAGCAAACAACAACACCAGCAAACAACAATAGCAACAACAACAACAACAACATCAGCAAACGACAACAGTAAACAACAGCAACAACAACAGCAACAACAACAACAACAACAACAACAAACAACAGCGAACAACAACAGCAAACAACAAACAACAACAACAAACAACACCAACTACAGCGAACAACAACAGCAAACAACAACAACAGCAAACAACACCATTAACAGCAAACAACAACAGCAACGAACAACAACAACAACAACAACAACAACAACAACAAACAACACCATTAACAGCAAACAACAACAGCAAACAATAACAGCGAATAACAACAACAATATACAACAACAACAACAGCAAACAATAACAACAACAGCAAACAACAACAACAGCAAACAATTACAGAAAACAACAACAACAGCAAACAACTACATCAACAGCAAACAACAACACCAGCAAACAACAATAGCAACAACAACAAAAACAACAACAACAACATCAGCAAACGACAACAGCAACAACAACAGCAACAACAACAACAGAATCAACTGCAAACAATAACGACTGCAAACAACAACAACTAACACAATACCATCATCAACAACAACGACAACAACAACAACAACAACAACAACAACAACAACAACAACAACAAAAAAAAGTTACAATAATACCACAAATAAGCAGTAAATACAAACAACAGTACCAAACAATAACAATGTCGGTAACAAACTTGTAACAACAACTATTTTTATTTAATTAGATCTAGATGCGAAAGAACGCTTATTCCGCGCTACGAAGGAAAAAGAGAAAGGGAACGAGGCATTCAAAGCTCAAGCTTATGACGAAGCAGTTGTTTACTACACCAATAGTCTGAAATACGAACCTACAGCTGCAAGTTACAATAACCGCGCTGCCGCAGGTGAGAGATTCACAGTTTAGAACTGATAGAGCTATCCAGTATAAATAAAGTTAGTTTAGTTTAGGTTTCCTCCTGTAGTAACACTGGATCAATAAGAAATGATCCTTACTGGACCTCTAGGAAGAACAGTTTAGAATTGATAGAGCTATCCAGTATAAATAATGTTAGTTTAGTTTAGGTTTCCTCCTCAGTAACACTGAATCAATAAGAGATGATCCTTACTGGACCTCTAGGAAGAACAGTTTAGAATTGATAGAGCTATCCAGTATAAATAAAGTTAGTTTAGTTTAGGTTTCCTCCTGTAGTAACACTGGATCAATAAGAAATGATCCTTACTGGACCTCTAGGAAGAACAGTTTAGAACTGATAGAGCTATCCAGTATCAATAAAGTTAGTTTAGTTTAGGTTTCCTCCTGTAGTAACACTAGATCAATAAGAGATGATCCTTACTGGACCTCTAGGAAGAACAGTTTAGAACTGATAGAGCTATCCAGTATAAATAAAGTTAGTTTAGTTTAGGTTTCCTCCTGTAGTAACACTGGATCAATAAGAGATGATCCTTACTGGACCTCTAGGAAGAACAGTTTAGAATTGATAGAGCTATCCAGTATAAATAAAGTTAGTTTAGTTTAGGTTTCCTCCTGTAGTAACACTGGATCAATAAGAGATGACCCTTACTGGACCTCTAGGAAGAACAGTTTAGAACTGATAGAGCTATCCAGTATAAATAAAGTTAGTTTAGTTTAGGTTTCGTCCTGTAGTAACACTGGATCAATATAACGAGATTTAAAAAACTGTTTGTAGCACGAGATTTAAAAGCTTTAATCGTATTTTGAGTTAATGGATGAAAAATGTGTCGGGTGTTTAGAACTGATAGAACTATCCAGTATAAATAAAGTTTGCTTTGTAACAATTAACTTATTTACATTTTCTGTTTAGAATTGAAACTTGAAAAATACACTGAAGCCATTGAAGACTGTAACAAAGTTCTTGATTTGGAACCAAATAATATAAAAGGTACCTAACCGGCCCTCTCTTCTCTGATATTGTCTGTGTGACTTTCAGCATGATAACTCAAAACATCAAACGTACTATTACGAAAATTAATGGGACTAATCACTAATGGGCAATTCCCAAGGACAAATTTACGTCACATATGAATAACGACTGATCAAAGAATGTAAGGTACAGTTAAATATCATGAAATAAAAAGGCTAAATGATGTTTTACATATAGGCATGTCATCCTCCCACAACTCCAAACTTATTCTAGTTAAAAATATTATTGCCCAGCAAATAACTCGTAAAAGAGGCATATTCAGAAAAAACATTTGGAATATAAAAAATATTTATTGAGTAACGTTTCGTCACATTACAAGCGACATCATCAGACTAAATACAGTTAAGCTATTTCATCTATTTTATTACAAATTTTTAGTGAATACGATATACAAGCTTTTAACTTACTTTTACTTACTATTTGCATACCAAACAAACTGAAATATCTCGGAAACAAAGTGAGCAAACAAAAATCTTCAAGATAAGTTGTTATATCATTTCAGGTTCGGGTTCGGCGAGAGAAGGTATGCATTCTCGAGTGCTATTATTTTTATTATTTTTTCAACAGCATTCTTACGACGTGGTATGGGTTATAAGGCGTTAAAACAATACGAACTGGCCATGGAAAATTTCAAATCGATGTTAAAGATAGACCCAAATAATAAGCGAGCCAAGGTACTGTTACAGTTTTAATAAAAAATTCTGAAATGTTTGTAACTCGGGTAATGAGTTGACTCGTCCTTGCCATTTAATAAATGCCTTTTGTTATTTTAGGAATTGTTATCAGATATAGAACTTTCAAAGAGGTTAGCTATTTTATTTTTTGACGTTGAAATAAACTGTCGTCCATATATTAACTGAATTTACTTATACTGGATAACTTTATCAGTGAACTGTTCTCCCTAGAGGTCCAGTAAGGATCATCTCTTATTGATTCAGTGTTACTGCAGGAGGAAACCTAAACTAAACTAACTTTATTTATACTGGATAGCTCTACCAGTTCTAAACTGTTCTTCTTAGAGGTCCAGTAAGGATCATCTCTTATTGATTCAGTGTTACTGCAGGAGGTAACCTAAACTAAACTAACTTTATTTATACTGGATAGCTCTACCAGTTCTAAACTGTTCTTCCTAGAGGTCCAACAAGGATCATCTGTTATTGATCCAGTGTTACTGCAGGAGGAAACCTAAACTAAACTAACTTTATTTATACTGGATAACTCTATCAGTTCTAAACTGTTCCCCCTAGAGGTCCAGTAAGGGTCATCTCTTATTCATCCAGTGTTACTACAGGAGGAAACCTAAACTAAACTAACTTTATTTATACTGGATATTCTCTATCAGTTCTAAACTGTTCTTCCTGGAGATCCATTACAGTCAGAGTCTTCTCCTATTGATCCAGTGTTACTACAGGAGGAAACCTATGTTCTCTCAGTTATCCAGTGAGAGCTTTTCCCTTTTATTTTGAAGCGCTTCTTTTTGTTTATACTTGACATTCAATAAATTTTCATGATACATTATTTTAGGGTAAGCGAGATAACCAAACCGGAAGTAAAAAGTGTCGAACCAGATAATGGCATCATACATAAAGCCGGAAGTGGCGACAACGCGGGCGCAAAAACGAAGAGAAAAGGTCAGCGGTTAAAGATAGTAGAAATTGAGAACGGCGATGACGTCACGGGAAATAATGGTATTGAGCCGTCAGCGTTGGGGCCTGGTAACCACCAAAATAATGAGAATGGTCAACCTCTTGAAAATGGTTTATCCGATCAAGTTGGAAAAAGTAGCTCGGAAACTAGTAAGGGGATATTAGAGGACAGTCAGGTGATAAATAGTGTTAAACATGAACAAGAAGGGATGCCAATGGATAATATGGTGAATAGTGAGACTTTGGTAAGTAAGTGATGTGATAAAATATAGGTGATATAAAAGTTATTTGCTGGGCTGTTTTAATAATTTCAAAGCAGTTTCTGCTGGGGAGTTAATAATAGCTGTCCCCAATAGCTGGGCATCCGTAATAAAGGATATATAATGTTGATATATCTCTAGAGTCAGTAAAGAGTGATCAGGGTGCGACTCGGTCATTTTAGAGTAGTTTGATATGGTCATGGATAATAAAATAAATGGATAGGACTCTAGCTGACGTAAGCAAAAACAACCTAGTTGCAATCTGTGACGTCACACGTATTGCAAAGTTCTCGGCATTTTTGTGTTGTTTCGCTATACTTTCTGCATTAAAAGAGTAATATTGAAGCATAAACTGGTCTAATTATTTTAAAAACATGCCTAAGCCACGACAAAGTATTCAAGGTAAGTGTTTTTCGTCTTTGCAACTTTGTTTTGCATTTTTTTACATTTGTAGCTACGAAATTGGCGTCCCCAATTTTAACGAAATTTGGGATGCATTTTTCACTGTTTAGTGCTTGAAATATTTGCTAAAATTGACTGGGAATACTTAGAGATTTCATCGTAGAATGGCGTAGTTCTATTCATTTGCTCGTTGACTAAAATGTTTAGCTGTATTATTGGTAAACATGCCGTTTTTGAGAATGTGGTTTGCAACTAGGTTTCAACATCCAATCACGCCATCAGCGCATTGAAAACATTACGTCACGTCAGCTAGTTTCCTATCCATTTATTTTATTATCCATGATATGGTTAACCCAACTCCTGACGTCATCAAAACCATAGTTAATGAGGTCAAGAATTAGTCCAGGATGGCGGGCAGCTCATTAATTTCGCTCTAAATATTTCGAGAACTAAGCAAGATATGACAAATCGGTAACAGAGTTTAATATGAAATTTTAAGAGTTCTTCTGAATGGGACAAACTATTTTTTATTGCCAATGTCTTTCAGTTAAAACATAGTTGAAACATTCATCAGACCTTTATTTTGTTAATCTAGAGTTTGAAATGTCCCTGTAACAATTCGTGACTAAAACTTTCTTTTGACCGGGTGCTTTTGTGAGACCATGGATAATAAAATAAATGGATAGGAAACTAGCTGACGTGACCTAATGTTTTTACTGTGATTGATGGCGTGGTTGGATGCCTCAACCTAGTTGAAAATCAAATTCTCAAAAACAGCATGTTTAGTAATAATACAGCTAAACATTTTAGTCAAAGAGCAAATAAATATAACCATGCCATTCTACGATGAAAACTCTAAGTATTCCCAGTCAATTTTAGCAAATATTTCAAGCACTAAACAGTGAAAAATACATCGCAAATTTCGTTAAAATTTGTGACGCCAATTTCGTAGCTACAAATGTAAAAAAATACAAAACAAAGACGAAAAACATTTACCTTGAATACTTTGTCGTGGCTTAGGCACGTTTTTAAAACAATTAGACCAGTTTACGCTTCAAGATCACCCTTTTAAAGTGGAAAATATAGCAAAACAACAAATATGCCGAGAACTTTGGTAACATTCGCAATACGCGTGACGTCACGTTTTTCAACAAGGATGCAGTCAATGACGTCAGAAGTTTCCAATCCATTTATTTTATTATCCATGGTGAGACCAATTTATTCACAGTATTGTATTTTTTTATTACGAAACAGGATAATAGTAATCTCGGAGGTGTGAATAAGTCTGGTACGGAAAATGGCGTAGACCGTTGCTTGGCAACAGAATCGGGAGCCGAATTGAAGGAGTCTGGGGCGGACAATGACGTCGGACGTTGCATAGCAACAGAATCGAAAGCTGGATTTAAAAATGAGCCTGGTCAATCGAGCAGTGAGCCTCGGGATAGTTCGAGTGTCGCTGAGGATGAACGTTTAAAAAAGCCAGAACCAGCGCAGAATGAAAAAGAAACCATTTTGGAAATCCCAGAGAATGTGAAAAATTTCATGAAGGAAGGAAATAATCTCTACAAAATGGGACATCATTCTGAAGCGTTGGAAAAATATAGTACATGTGTGAAATATCTCTGGTCAGGTAGGAGTCTATAGTAATTAGCAGTTCGCTTTTAAATTTCGCCTCTTAATAGACAATTCCCATTATAGACTAATTTTAAAACTAGGCAAGGAGATGCAAATAAATCAGCTAGAAAGGGCATACTAAAATTAGTACAATTGCAACGTTTGGTTGCGAAATGTTGTAAAATGCGGTAAATATAGCCTTGCAAATTTTGCAAATTGTGTGTATTTTTGTATTGCGTGCGGAAATTGTTACCATGGCCCAAATGTGGTAGCAATTTCCGCACGCAATACAAAAGTATACAAAATTTGTGAACTTCACAGGGCTATATTTTCCTCATTTTACAACATTTCGCAACCAAACTTTGCAATTTTTCTCATTTTAAGATGCTCTTTCCAGCTGTGGTAATGGATTTCGTTCTTAAATCTTGTCTAGCTCAAAGTTTCGTCTACAGCTGGATTCATCCATGATTATAGTATCCGTTGCCTGCTGTCAAATTAGGAAAAGTTAGCTTCCCGGTCTTACAAAAATAAGCCAACGGCTGTTTGTGCCACGATCGAGCTCTACAGTCGGTTACTCTGTTTAGTACTTGAAATATTAATTCTGTTCTTCCTCCATTCTAAGCTTTCAAACAAAGTTATTTTTCCTCAACCTGGTTTCTATACGTTATAGCCTGGTTATTTTCGAAAACGACGTAGTATTTCGTAAAACTGATTTAGTTATTTTGCCGTCTTAAATCTCGAAGTTACCTTGTTGAAGAATGAAAATATATAGTGGCTGACACATTATAACAGTGGCGACATTTTCAACATGTATGCCAAACAGGACTAAGTTCTGTGAATCTTTCAGAGGGTCACTTGATGAAATGAATAAAGAGTCCGGTGTTATGCCATTGACTAACATTCATAGACGAATTTTCATATTTATTACTGGGGTGGTGCCAGAAATTTTATGGGGGTGAGCCGTGAGCAGGTGACTGAAGCGACACAAAGTGTCACCAAACCCCAGTAAGGTCTATATTCTAGAAGTGGAGCACTAGAGCCGCGAGGGGGAGTCTAGAGAGCAGAAAACAAAGTATCCCAGGAAAAAATTGAAAAAATCATGATTTCTAGCTTCGAAAAAAAGTTTTTTGAAGTTGTCAATTTGTCATATAAATGAATTTGGCATGTCCGATTGTCTGTTAAGACTTGAGAGAGTTAAAGACTTACTGTAAAGTTAAATGAACCTATAAAAGTGTAAACCCAATAGGCCAATACACAATATGCTTTTACTTTTATAAAGTCCTTGACATTGTGTTGTTTGAATACAATTTATGATGAAACTCCGACGTAAATAATATTTGGGGCGTAAAAATTAAATCTAGGCAAGTCTATTTCCTAAAAGAATTAAAAACTAAAAATAGTGTTCGTAAAAATTCCTAACGTTCCTTGCGTGCAAGGCACTGCAAACTCTATTCAGGGGAGATCATAGAGTTTCAAAACTTTACAATTGCTCCAATAAACCAGTGAATGCAAGCGAGGAGCGATTAGTTTCAGAGTGTTGCACTGTCTTTTTCTGTTTGAGTGTACTCCTACGTTTATTTTGCATCATGAACACTCTGCACGTTGGAGTGGACTATTTAATTATTTATTATGCCGAATATTGGGGGGTTTGGAATTTTTTTTTGGAGGGGTGAACATTTTGTTTGGGGGGTTATAGCTAATATTGGAGGGGTAGCACCCCCCCCCCAGAAAATCCGTCTATGCTAACATTAGATAGTTTTTCTAAGATAGTCGTGCGATTAAGCATTTCTGGTACAGTCTAATGAACTACCTTCTTCTCTATAGGGAATCAGAATTGAAAAATTTTTTCCTGTATATATTATTAAATAAGTAACAGTAAACACCCTATAACAAATGATATGCCAACAGAATAGTAATGTGTATTTTGGAACGGTTATATAATAAAAATTACAAGATTGTTTCGCGTTCAATATTCTCTTCAACTTCGCCAATTATACGTCGTCATTGTCAGACCTGGCTCGAACACTTTCAGAATCTTGATATTTTCCGTATATTTTTCGTATAAGAACCGTAGCAGGGGGTGGATGTATTATCACAATCGGCAGTTCGTCATCATTGTCAGATGGATTTAAGTCAGACCTGGCTTGCACATTCTCGTCAACTGATGTGTCAATATCATTTTGTATTACCAGAACTCCGGCTAGTTCAGGATCTTCAACGTTATCAGGTGAGCTTAAGTCAGAGCTGGCTTGAACATGTTCAGAATCTTGAATATTTTCGTTAAATGTTCTGCCATCGTTATCCATTATCAAAACCGTTCGAACACGTTCTGAGTTTTCACCAACTAATTCTTCCACCATGTATTTCACATTCAATTTCATCTTTTCCTCCCATGCTTTTTTTCTTTCTTCGCTTGTTTTCGACGCTACCATATTGAATATGTGCGGCATGACACCGAGACTCGCAGTTGTCACAACTTGAACTACGCCAGTAACATTGAATTCATTTAGCATATTGATTAGCTGCAAAATACCAAATGAGAATACAAATGAACAAAATATTTTCAATCCAAGATAAAATAAGTTCGTATGGTACGGTAACAATTTTTCTCTGATTTTATCATAAAGTTCTTTGGACACCACAGGTAATACATTTTCCTCGCGTTTAGGATGTCTATTTGGTATGCAACCATTATTGACTTGCTGTTTGTCACGACATGCTTCGTAAATTAGCCGTTTTAATACGCAGTATTTCTCTTCCATGGTCTTCCAATAACTGCAACAGTAGAATGTTAGGACAGAGAAAAATGCGAAATAGGGAATGAAGTAAATAAGATTTAGAAACAATCCTAAAAGGGAAGACTGTATCGAGTTTACCATTATCAACGAAATCTGACTGAGAAATAATACAAAGAAAAGCATGTGAAACAAACTCCAGAATATTGTACCGCAAGTCTCCTTCTTATATGAGTATAATATGACTCTTGCGCGGAAGGCATAATGACTAAATGATAGATATAAGAGAAGGCAAGATAGAATACAAAGAACAAGAAAACAAATTAATGGTGCAAGTACATAACACGTACATAGTGCGAACATTTTGATAATACGATTTCTGATCTGTTTATCTACACATGTGGTAAAAATTGTAAACCACTTTGTTGTTATTTCTCTCCAAAGATTTATGTTAAATGGTAAAGTTAATAATTTAATAACGCCTGCAAATTCTCCACACTCAACTTCCTGGCGTAACTCGTTAACATTGTGTTCAAAATATTGTAGAATTCGGATGAGGGAAGGACTTATCCAGCCGTCGTAATCGTTGTAAAAGATCAGAATAGATGAGTACGTAATCTTAGCTTCGTACAGAGACGAAATTGAAAACAAAAGTCCCCAGAAAAGGACTGGAATTAGCATGAAAACATTCAATATTGGCCAAACGTAAGTGCAATATGAAAAGACAGCTGTTAATACACATCTACGGCAAAAGGATACTACGAGACCGTTTTCTTCCCAAATAATTCTAAAGAGAACAAAAGATGGCGACATCCTGCTTTCCTCCAGCTTGTAGTATTTGGGATATTTTAAGTCGAACTCAGTACGAGACAACAACACGATTAGCAACCACAACAAATAAAACCAGGAGAAAGAAACCATCATTACGGATATAACATCCCAAGGAACACTACTCTCGTAAAGAAATGATTTTGGTTCGGAGCAGCCATCATTGAATTTCGTCGAATTTAATTTTGTAATCTTACAGCAAGTTCGTTTTACTTCTCCTGATGAAATTTCCTTATAAGAAGAGCAAACTTCGTAGTTTGTTGCCAGGTTTATGCTGCGGATTATATTCTGCGTATTCTCCAATGCAAAATTTGTTACATTTTCTTTCCTTTTAATGCAATCGTTTTGATTTTCTTTGAAATGTAATTCAAAGTTTCGTATACCAGCATTCAAAGTCCATGTAACATATCTGAAATCCGGTCTGTCAAGAGTGTAAAGAATTTCTCGACCGATGGGATTCATTAATGAAACATGAAAATCCGATAAGAGATGTTTGTCTGGACTAGTACCAGAGAAGGAGACATGAATCTCTACTACATTAACAACATTACTGTTAAAAAGTTCAACAATCCGCGAGATTTCGCTCTCTGTCATCTCCAAAACGCAATCTTTGGTAGCAGGAATCGTCGTGGACGGCAATGCAGACACCGTAGTGCTGATGTTTAGTTTATCGCCGTCATCAAATGTGTCGTTGTTGGAATGTGCAGACACGACGAATGATATTAACCCACAGTAGAAAATCAATAAGAACATTGATTTCAATCAACTTTCTTCACAATCAAGGCCATAATCAGATTGAGTAAAGCCAGCAGAAAGCACCTATGTCATCGACCAGTTAGTTGAGACGTTTCATATGAACAGTTTTGATAGAAAAATGTACTTATAGGTGTTCAAGTCTTTTGTTTTCAAATTAAGTTAGACCCACAACTGAGAGATGAGCATCACCATCTGAGCGTAAAAACAGAGAATATTTAATCATTAGTTTCAATATAAATGTCCTAATATACGCTTATTAATCAAATTAGTATAACACTTAAATATAGTTTAAACGTTAGCTTTACAGAAATTTCATACATAGTGAACACAAAGGAATATTTTTGCTGTCAGCTCATAATAGCATGGTGCAAGAGAATGCATGCTTGAGTACCTTTGTAATTGTTGCCTATTCTGTTAGCATCTATATTTTTTCAATATAGACTGATCCGCTTTTATCACGTTTTTGCAATGAAAAATGTCTAAATAGCACTCGTTATATATGTGTGTTCGCTTGTCCCAGTTGTTGTGACAAGTCTGGAACAAGTTGTTATCATCTTGTTACAAGGTTGATGACGGTAACAGACTTGCTACAAGTTGTTCCAACAAGACTAATACAGGCTGTTCGTAACAAGTTGCCTCGAGCTTGTTCTCATCAACTTGTGAACAACTTGTTACGTGCAGACGATATCAGACTTGTTGGAACAACTTGTTGCGAGTCTGTTGGCCTCATCAACCTTGTTACAAGATGATAACAACTTGTTCCAGACTTGTCAACAACTGGGAACAAACAGTGCGAACACACCTTGTAGACAGCTGAGAGATTTTTATGTGTGTACTAGGGGTACAATGTTGGGAAATATAATTGTTTCGTTAGAAAGGCGAGGGGCTGCTGCATGATGCATTTCCAATAAGGTAAATTGCTATACTCTGCCCAAATTATCATACATATTCCACAAGACTATAGTTTGGTACATAATTTTCTAAGGAAAGCACAGCCACAGGATATATGCTAATATGCAAGAATGTAAGCCGGCAAATAATCATTTCACTTGAAAGGACAAATGTCTGGCCAAGACAAACATAGGTCCACTGTGGCGGACATGCATCTACTGAATAGAATAGTAGCACTGGGAAATAAAAGGCATTGAGCAGATAAAAGCATAGATGTGCACTCTGACCTTTGGAATTGATTTCTGGCATTTCCAGAATCATAGCACAACGTGACAAACGTCGCATTGTTGACGTATGTTTGCAAATGTTAAAAGTTTTGGTTCAAGAAGAGTAACATATTTTCAGGCAGTTGCTTAACCTGAAGCTGCTGAAAATAACAAATTTTTACGAAGGGGTTAGAAAGGCACAAAGCTTTTGTAGTATAACAACATAAATCCATCTCTAGAAAATAAAGTTTTTCACGAAATCATCGCGCCTTATATCTCGTCCTGGCAAAGCGATTTTTTTTTATATATATATATATACGGACGCGAATATTGTAAACGACTTAAAAAACGACTCATCTCATGAGTTCATTGGCGAAGTAATTTTAAAAATAAACGTTGTCTAAGCCGAGAAAATCAGAGTTAAAGTTTATGTAAATGAACATGAATCTGTATCACGACACGCTTATGATTTTTCTTTGTGTTTTCTTCATGAATTATTAATGAGTTTTTAAGGTTTGTTTAATAGAACTGTTAACAATTAATGCAATTTTTATCAACAAATACTTCAATATTTGTCGAAACAGCGATTAGGTGGATTCAAAATATGGCTTCAAAATTATGTAAGCAAAATTCATGATAACAATAAAGCGTGAGTTCAAAATACCAACAAGAAGTAAAAAAATATTGTATGGTTCTCATTTGCCTAATGCAATAACATCAGTGCAAATAGTAATGCAAATCAGTTAAAACTCTTTGACGACATATCCCAATCGCGTCGGCCTTGTGTTTTCATATCTTCGGTTCAGTGCATGCTATGAAGACAGAAATACCACCATTCGATTCAGAAATAAAAGATTCAACTAATTCCTCACTATAGTTATAGTAATTATCAACATTGTAGCGATTTATGGGCCTTTGAAGTCAAACATGATCATATTGTGTCAAATTACGCAATTGTCTGAACAAAAATATAGACTGGCCATACATACCTTTCGCCGAAAATAACTTCGGCCCCTTTGAACATATCGTCTTTGTAATAGTCTTGTTCGAATCCCCATGAAAAACACTATCCTAGAGTGTTATTTGCTAGCCTGTATCTTCAAATCTGTATCTTTTATGCACTTGTCACTGGGAACCCCCCACCCCCACCCCGGAGACACAAGGGGACTTGATGCGGTTAGACGGGGATTTGATCCTTTTTCTTGCCCCAGGAGGTGGGGGATTTTTACATTTTAGCAAATCTTCTCAAGCAGCAGGCTGGTACCGAATTCGCGACCGCATTGCAAAATGGCGACTTTTGGAGGTCAACTTGAAGGCTTTTATTGTTTAATATGCAAATGCATTTATATGTTGCCTCTTTGTTCTGGTATTTATATATATATCTCAAACTATCATTTGCATGTGTAAAAGTTTGGTCGTTTAATTTTTGTTTTAAAACAGTTGAAGAAAAACGTTCTCTTGATTCATTTTTATATGAACATTGGCAGATTGCATTTATTTCCGCACAGAGGGGGTTGAGGACAACGGAAAATCCAGGGGAGGGGTGTAAAAAATTGCATAAATCAGGGGGTGGGGGTGATTAGAGGCTAAAATCCAGGGGATGGTCTGCGATTAAAGCCATTTTCCAGGGGTGCCTAGCAGTGAATTCCTAGGAAATTCCAGGAAGGGGGTATATACACTGAATTCCAGGGGGTCACAATTTAGCTGGTAAAAAGATGTCCTCAACCCCCCTGTGCCGAAAATAGATGCAATCTGCCATTGCTACTTTTAAGATTTGTCGTCAATAAATGCTATTGAAAAGTACTCAGTGGCGGTTTAGACGGGGTTAGACTTTATGTTGGTCCCCATGTTATGGGGCATTTTTGCAGATTTTTTTCGCTTCGGGTCTAATGCTCCATGTATGCTCGGGGGGGGTTGGGGGTTCCCAGTGACAAGTGCGTTATCGATATATTTCCATTTTTTGTCCAATTGTGAGCTCGAAGTGAGCTAATCCCAACCGGAAATACGACGAAAAACCGGCAAAACAATGCGACGTTTCAATCTCGTTCCCCGAGCCCGCGATCCTCGGGAAGGAACGCGAGCACGCGAGGCTCCTGGCTAGGATTGAACTACGCATTACGAACTACACCAATCATTCCTAGGCCTCCCTGAAATGGATTATCCCAGAGCCTCGCGTTCCTTCCCGAGGATCGCAGGCTCGGGAGACGAGATTGTGCGACGTTTGTATTCGTATGACCCTGCATTGAGGCCAGAAATGGTTCACAAGGTCAAATTGCACCTACACGCGTGCGGTTGACGTCATCCCGGCCACAGGAGCTTCTTATTGGCCAATTATTGCGCAATATACGCGAGTGCGAGTAAAACCCGACATCTTGAAAAATTCAAAATAAATATTTCTACTCGCCGTATTCAAACGAAATTTTGTACACGAAAGCGCTTGAATACAAAGAGTATTTTACACATATAGCCGTTCAGCAAATGACGAAACGTTCAAGGGATATTAAATATTTTCTGGATATGAAATTTAGAATTTTTGGCCAAGCGGTGAGTAAATATATGATTGTTTCGGTTTGTGTAATGTTTTGACGGCACTTGACCCCCCCCCCCGTTCGAAAGGTTATTTTGTGAAGATTTCAATGGTGGCGGCTTTTATTTAAAAGGGGGGTAAATACTCGCCGAGATATTTACAATAGAAAAATTAAGTCGTAATCTAATACGAAACCGTACTGTCGTCAAAGAGTAATAACGCAACTGATTTGCATTACTAACAATGAGTGATTTACATTACTAACATTACACCACAAAGCTTTTCGCGCGGATTATATTTCGCGCACTACTAAAATTTGCGCACCCAGCGCTGCGCGAATTCTAGCACTGCGCGAATTTTAATACAAGTAAGGTATACAAAATTCAGTTGACATGCTATATATCAATATGTGCAGACAACAATCCAATCCACTCTGGGTTGCTCTGGGAATCTTTAATATGAAGCCTGATTTAACAACATTCCGCATTTGTTGTAAAACTATAAACATCTAGAAATGGAACACTATAACTCATCGCCTTTGCACATGGGATAATATCAATGGACAAAGTTGTATTTGACCACTCCGTTAGCGGTTTATTATGTGCTGTAAGAAGCGCCGATAACTCATTAACGCACATTTGTTTGCCTCTAGACGGAACACTGAAAATTTCAGTGCCTTGATGTATATTACCAGATGTATATTACCAGAAAGAAATAAAGTCATACTTGCCTTTATATTTCAGAGAATTTTCGTAATTTTCATCCAGAATATATCTTAGTCGTAATCACATGGAAATTCCACGATGGAATTCGACGTGAAGATGCATGCGCGCATTATACAACATATTTTTCGATGACCCCCTCACATTACAAACGAACTTCAACAATACATAACTCGCGCGGAAGACTGGGTCGAGTGGACTCCGGGGAAACCTATGTTTCATCTATGTTTCATTGAAAGTCAGTAGATGCAAAAATCAGTAGATACAAAAACTGATCGAATATTTGTCAGTGTTTCTCAGACAATGGACGAAGTAATATTTTTCACATTTTTTTTCAAAATGAGCACGATGTATTTCGGCTGTTCATGTTTAGTTCATGTGTTGTGACCTCGAAAAGTGCTTAGAAAACGGTTCCTTTAACACGGCCAAACCGGTCAGAACGTTCAAATTGTTGAATGAAACACAAAACATTTGGGCTTCGGACCTATCTGACCGGAAAATTTTGATAACATTTGAATGAGGTCCATTTTCGCTAGACATTTGCGAAACATAGACTGAGATCTTTCCATTGATACAGAGAAAAAAATTCGGGTCTGACCGGTCAGACCATTAAATGGAAAGCGCCCAAAGGCTTTGTTTACATTTCGGTATCCAAAATATTGAACTGATTTTATTGGACAACTATTTATATTTTCATGATTTTAGAGTATAATAAATTAAGAAGAGACAACAATTAATCTTTGCAAGAACATAAAATGAAATAAAAACCTAAATAAACTGTTTGTGAATAAAAAGAGGGCTCCTTTGTGCACATGCGCAGGTCGGACTGTACCGCATCTTTAAGCATGTTTTAGATCTGAAATATTTTTCAGTACGGGAACTAACACTTTCAAGCACGCTGAGTTCAAATCCGAAAAGTTCCCACTCCGTAGACCCGCAGTTTTCTCACAATCTGCTATTTTATCTTCACTAATATCACAGCAAAATTTTTCATTATTCAACCGGATCGATGACGATACACGATTATGTCTGACTCAAAAGGACCAATTTCTATTAACCATTCTTCCTTTTAACAAAAGACCGGCAGTTTGCTGGAATAATTTTGAGTTATGCAATCTTATGCGTGTTGCATATATAAATAACATCTTGTCTACAACTTTGAGAAGCACAGATAATTCCTTCTAATATCCTTAGTTCTGGATCTATCTCTATAAATTACAAGGACGTAATTTCCTTTCCTTTGGGCTATGTCTCTGGGCTGAGAAACAATTGCTTACATGCGATGAAAATGTTTTATACAATTTAAATTTCCAACACAGTTTCTGAGATGTAATTCAAGAGATAACTTATCATTGCATTTGAATTATTACATCAGTTGGTGTTATACTGTGCAATAAGCGAATATTATTGGAAAGAGGGCTTCCATATACGTTGAAATCACCAAATAAACAGCTCATGCACACATTTCTCCACTTTGTCGTAAGTTTACAGAGCATATTTTATACTTTGGGACTGATCTTTGTCTCTGATGTGAATTCACATTTATTCTTATAGTTTAAGAATTAAGATTATTTAAGATTGATCCTGTCGTATTAAGTGTTCTATACCAGCAACCAATCGACAATATTTAATTTTATAGCGTTGTCTTTGCCGTTACGTTGGCTTCGTGTTACTTTTGTTTTAAATACTTTGATCGCGTTAAAAGAGTTATTTTTCAGGCCAGTGACTTAGCCAAAAGACTTTGCATTAACGTCCTTGTGATTTTATAGAGATATCTCTAGAACTGAGGATTTTAGAAAGCGTTATTTGTACTTCCTCAAAGTTGTAGACAAGATATGTTGTTTACGTCCAGCACGCATAAGATTGCATAACTCAAAATGATTTGAGCAAAACCGGTCTTTTGTTAAAAGGAAGAATGATTAATAGAAATTGGTCCTTTTGAGTGACATAATCGTGTATCGTCATCGATCTGTGTCGTTGAACAATGAAAAATTTGTCGTGAAATTATTGAAGATAAAATAGCATTTTGTGAGAAAACTGCGGGTCTACGGAGTGGGAACTTTTCGGATTTGAATTCAGCGTGCTTGAAAGTGATAGTTCCCGTCAAAATATTTCAGATCTAAGACATGCTTAATGAAAGTGAACGATATCGGGTCACAACACACGGACTAGTTGATCTGCACTGCAATCCATCTATATATCTACCAGTTCTAATAATAGACAGTTTAAGATCTACGACGTCGACGTCAGCTAGGACGTCAGGGCTATGCAGAGGACTTGGACTAGGATGTCGTCCTGATGTAGTCCCAGTCCTCTGCTTAGCCCTGACGTCCTAGCCGACGTCGTAGATCTTAAACTATCTATTGTAATACATCATTAAATTATAGTTCAGGTTATACATAACGTTAATTTCTACCAGTGGTGGACACTTCACGAAATATTGGGGGGGGGGGGGCGAAATTTATGCAACATGCATGCATTCATGCCAAAGGGGACTAAGTTCTGTGAATCCTTCAGCCAGAACATGGGTAACTTGATGAAATGAATAAAGAGTTGTGCCACTTGACTGACATTAGGTTAGCGTTGTTGTTTAATGTACAGTATAACTATCAATTCTAATCGTTTAAAAAAAATTATCAGTAGAGCTTTAAGGAATCCTACACAGAGCAAAACAGATTGTATAAAATACGTATGTTGTGGAATCATTGACATGCATTCTACAGAATCATATATTGCTTGCTATATCGCTAACTTTAGCTTAAGTTTTATTTAATAGTCATTATTTAATATGATAATTACGTCATATGGCTGTGATTGCATGCTTGCCACTCGCTCCTAAACAATGCTTGTGAATTGTGATGGTGTGCATGGTCTTTCAAGCCGCATTATCATTTGCATGGTTACAGTCTACAGAGCTCATAGATATCTTATATACACTAGATGGGCATCTTATTTAGTAAAATTGAAGCCAAGAATATTCCAGCGGTTACTTCCATTTGAATAGATGGCGGCCATGTTGGTCGTTCCCACTTGCTAATAAACGCTTAAAAACAACAATAACTTTCATCATTTGAATAGTTTAAAAACGTATTTGGAATAGGGTTAACTTCATGTTTAAGTTCCGTGTTTAAGAAATAGAAAATATACGAATCTTCTCATTTCATGAGAACGACCTGAGACTGCAATCACGGCTTCAATTTTTGAATTGCAGAATAATTAGATGCACTATCTAGTGTATATAAGATATCTATGACAGAGCTCAGTTGTGTTGCTATTCGTCAATCAATATACACTAGTTATTATATGGCAAGCATGCATCACTCCCGGTAAAATGGCGGACTGTGATTGGCTGAGAAGCACTTTCAGCGGTCCATTACGTAAAAACAAACGCATGCATTGCACAGCATTTTAAAACAAAACTGCAAAACTAATTGAAAATTTGAAAATTATAGGCTAATTTAATTTGTTATTAATAGAATATATGCGAAGGTTTTTAGTGGAAAAGAAGGAATACATTGGTATTTTTTCTTCGACCAAATGTGTATCATGTATTTTAAATATAATAATAAACTTTTTATTAACCTCGCTTGCTCGGTATGTACAGAGAAATATCGGATCTCTGTCTTTTTGTACAAACCTCGCCCTACGGGCTCGGTCTGTACAAAAAAGACCTCGGTCCGATATCTCGCGTTCGTTAATAAGAAGGTATTAATTTGGACGACTTTAAGACTCCCTATTTTATCAACTCAGTCACCTATTCAGAATAATTGTGAAAACTCTGATTTGGAAAAAGGGCTTAAAGGGACATTACTGGTACAATGGTTTGGTTAATGCATGTATGCCTTTTTATCTTATTTCTGTAGATCGTGAATCGTACGCGAGTGCTGTATCCGGTCTTTTTAACAACAAGGCTGCGTGTTATATGAAGATGGGGGACTGTAAACAATGTGTGCTGGAGTGCAATGAATCATTAAAGCTGGTTGACAGTAATCTCAAGGCTTTGATACGACGTGGGGCGGCTTATGAGA